TGTCAGACTGCTTATCTGCATGCATTTTAAATTTTTAGGAAGTCAAAATACTACACTTTGGATACAGGCACTAGTGTCCATGGGTGGTTTTTTGTTTGTTTGTTTTTAAATAACAAGTGCAAAATATTTCCTACACTTTTAGAATAGTAGTAGAAATGGTGTCAGGGAAAGGGAGCAGATGGGTGACATTTTCCCAGGATAATTAAAAAAGGCACGGTTTTTCCCTTTCTACACAGAAGGAAAAATTAAAATGTTGTATAATACATAGATATGCCCATGTGATAGCCAATGTTTGTAGACTTTGACTCCTTTGAACAAAATACACTTCCCATTCATTATTTGATATATAAAAACAATTTTGCGAAAATATTACTGTTTTAGGTGCTGTGTGTGCAGCTGGCAGCCACCTCAACAGCTCTGCCTGTGGGGAAAAATGTTGCTATGACCATAAAACTTATCTGGCAGCTTCTTTTACGTGTATAAATGTTGATAGTATCTTTTTTCCTTTTTTTTTCAGTTAATATCATTTTTGTTGTAGATTTTATTTTACTTACATTTCCTGGTGTAGCTGTGTTGAGCTATAACAACAAAAAGTCCTGTGAGGCTTTAAAGTCTGGAAATCTCTATTTGGTGTAGATGCAGATGCAGTCCCAAGAAGCATATCCCAAATAAAGTTTGCTAATTTTTGAGGTACCACAGGACCTTTTGTTGTTTTAGTTGTGGCTTATGGGTCAAACAATGGAGTGTTCACCTCATCACTCCAGGATGGAGTATCTCCTCTGCTCTGTTAAAGAGATACCTGTGGCTTTCCACGTACTGTGTGAAGGTGAGAATGCATTCTAAGAATGCAAAAACCAACTTGTAAGAAGGGAGTCACGAGATGGATGGAGAGTTGAGGCCAGCCTAACTCAGCTGCAGATCAGGATAACTATGGCAAGCACACCTATTTTGTATCATTTCTCTGAGCACATAGTGTTGCTCAGTTGGGAACCAGCATCTGATTCACTGTCTATTGCAAGTTGGTATTGGCAACAGCTGACATCTGTCTACCTGACTGGACTGGGGGATGTGTCCTGAGCACAGGGTTTCTTTCTTGAGCAACTGCAAGTCCAGAGACCTTTGGGTAGTGTGGG